TTGACTTCGTGCGCGCCATTACCAAGCTCATGGAGGAAGAGCAACAACCAGTATCTGTAGGGCTCAATAGGAGTCGTATACTCTTCAATGGCATTCCATTCACCCCGGATGTCCACTTCGTTCCCGTGGAACAATACGACACCGACCGGTTTCGCGTCGAGATGGGAGCCATTCACGGTGTGTCCTGGGGCACGGAGTTCAGCGTGCATAAGCACAATTGTCGTGGTTCTGTCAACCCTTCTCTTCTCACCTTCTCCGCCATCGAAATCCACCCGACATGGTGCTTGGCTCGCAGTCGTAGTAACAACGACCCAATTGTTCGCGATGGATGGGCTCGAATCACGCGATGGAACAACCGCACACCTTTCCGTGTACACTTTAAAAAGTCTCTATTCTCTCTCTTCCGTCGTTGTCGCCTTCGCCGCCAAATACCTCCCACTGCTACTGGCCCAACATCTCGTCCTGGTGTCAGTATGGTCCGTGTCAAGAGCGCCTCTCAAGCAGATGTCTCCGTTACGCTCAGGTCGCGAGAAATCGTGCTAGAGCGTCACGATGGCTTGATTGTTGGTAACTGCCGGCGTATCATTCATCTATCCAGCCACCAGACGAGTACGGATCTCAGGGTCCTCGACGCGGCTGCACACTTCCATCTTCACCTTCACCGACAGAATCCTCATCGCCCCCTTCTCAGATTGGTTACTATGGAACTCTTCCGCCTCGACGCCTCTACTTGGACTCGCACCAGCGGGAATCTCCTCGTTGACGGAAGGGCACAGATCGTCGACGACGAGAAAAATTCAATATACTCTGTTGTACTCCACAACTACTCCGACTATGACCTCTGGCCATATCTTGCATACCTCGATTCGAGCGGTTACGGTATCAGTATGATCTACCATCCTAGCTCCAAATTGTCCAAACCTCCGCTCCGCCGACACTCGCATCTCGTCATTGGCTCCGGTACGACTGAGTCAGAAGCCCTCTCATTCTCCTTAGCCGATGGAGCAGACATCGGTGCAGGCTTCCTCAAGTTATTTGCCTCATCCTCGTTCACTCCTATGACGTCCATAGAACAAGGCCCTTCGTCATCCGCGCCGGTCGTGCATCACCCTATTAAGGGCAAAACCAAGGCTTCCTGGGAGAAGACAATGTCAGATCCCGAGGTGTGGGATTCAGTCGTCTCCTGTGTGACGGTCGTTCGCGGGAGGTGATCATGATCGTGGCCCTTTATGCATTCTTTGAACATACACATGCTTCGTCGTTATTTCTGCTGCAGTGGCTAACTTATAACTTATCCTATATATGACAGCGGGTTCTGATAACTGTTTGCACTTCACGACATATGTATACTGTAGCCATAGCTTACCATGCCAACTTCTTTGTACTTAGGGTTAGTAACCTTCGCATCTCAGATACAATGAGATCAATGACATGAGACCCCCTTTCCGCACTATGACACTTCGTGAAGACTGATGTTCTTCGTAATACAGCCCATGTCGAGTGCGACAATGCCGAGAGCACGTGCAGGAAGTGCACCAGAGATTGAATCGTATGGACTCGTGCGTACAGCTTGCAGCCCGATCGATTCTATGCACGAGCGTCGAGCCTGCTTTAGCCTATGGCATATTGCCTAAAGCTCAGTGATCAACGATCCGGTGACCGGGTATGCAATGACCCACCAAAAACGCATACAACTGTAGGAACAACAAACACTCGTGTAGAGGCCTGCCCGATCTCATATCCGTCTACCTCGACCAGACGCAGTACTAGCGGGGGTTTTCCGTTTTCGGAAGAGCCCTCCTGTCGAAGGTGTTGAGGTAGGTTCTACTGGCTCTGTCTTCGGGACGGTCTCCTCTTTCTGCGCTTGGCCAACTTTACCACTGTCAGAAGCATGTGAATCCAGGGATACTTCCGAAGGCTCTCCCTTGACAGTTTCAGCAGGCGGAGGCGTGGTGTCCGCGGAGACGTTGTCTGTTCTTGAACTGCTGTCTGCGACAGAACCCGCCTGTTCAGAAGGCTTCTTCCAGCCACGAGCTGACCATTTCAAAGGCGCTCCATTGGTCGAGGAGGAGGGCTCTGAAGTGGAGTTCGATGATTGTGCCTCGGGAGAGGGTTCTTCTTTCTTCGTCTTGAGTTTGATCGGTATTAGACCGGGGTCGTATATTTCCCCCAGCCCAACGTCCAATTTCTTCTTTTTCAACCTGAATTGCCGCGCGTCCTCTTCATCGACAGGCGGAGCCTCTGCCTCTCTCTTGCGACCTCCTTCCCCAACCACGGGTTTCTCGTCCGCCTCTCCCGACTGATCCTCTGTGTGTGTCGGTTCAATGATGGACACAACCTCCCACTGCCCGACATACGCCTCCGTCTTGCGCCGTTCAGCTTCTGCCTTCTGCCTTTCGGCCTCAGGATCCGTGATACCAAGAGATTCGGCAGTCGTATAATTGGCATAAGGATCAGATGGTCTCGCAGGTTTGGGGGCGTGGACGGTCTTCGAACTGGAAGCGATGCTACTGCTGCTGCTGCCCGGCTTGACCAAGCCTGAGCTTACATCTTGAGCAAATGCTGCTCGCGCGGCCTGTACATAATTATAAGTGATGTAATGTAAAGGTTGTGACAAGGCATACGTACCTGTTCTACGCGAACCATCTCCCGCTTCTCTTCCTCCAAATCTTGTTTTCGCTTCTCCCCTGCTTTGTAGAGTCCCCTCACGAATCTCTCCACATTCCCCTTGTGGCGTAAGCCAGACTCGTGTTGCCTCTTTGACGGTGCATCATCCGCAATGTAGATGTTACAGTACTTGCAGAAGTACTTCTTGTGGGACACCCAGTACTCGCTCATAGTGGCTCATGAAGGAGGTTATTGGTGGGGGAGCGCCCATGCAACTTGTGACGCGCTTATAAGTTGTAGGTGCCTGTAGGTCCACCACCATGGTGGCGAATTCTAACTGTACTCGGTCTCACCCCGGGCCACGAGCTTCGTCGTCTCGATGCATGGTAGATGTAGGAATCGCACTAGATGATGAGCTTCAATATCAACCCCAAGTATAGCGATCATTTAGTGGCTGGCAGCTGCTACCGCCCCGCGACAGTCAGTTCAAGTTTGAAGTAACTTGAGGTATTCGACACGCATGCCACAAACCACTTTTTTGCAGTTCGATCACTGCTACAAGTATGTGTCGAGTCCGATTTGGAACCCACAGACAACGAAAGGCCAAAGAAGTGTCTATTCATTGATGGAAGGGAATGGGAGACTAATAGTGTCACTATACAGAGGTGCTGACATAGTGTGCATATCGGAGGCTGCATACGTCTTATGAGGATAGGGAATGAACCTTCAAATCAGCAACGTCCTTACTCAAATACTCCTTCTCCTGGGAGCTAAAGCTCTCGACCGGACAAATCACTGATACAGACCCTGTTTCCAAGGCTTGTAAGCATCCGGCCACAACCCCTGAGATGTATATCTCCTCGGCGGCGCGACAACGGCTGGGGGCCGACCATATTCTCGACTGTTATGCGACCTGCAAAAATTGAGTATGAGTTCAGGTATCGGCAGTCGCTTCATGCAATGACATACTTATTATTCCTCTTGGACGACCCCTGTTCGAGGACGCCGTCCATTAGACCCTTGGTTCTTCCGGACTGTGACATACGATGACGATGAGTCGGAACTTCTTCGAAATCATCAGGATCATCGACCGGTGTATCGATTTCATGCGATTCGGATTCGCTAGCATCATCGTCGCATTCAGAGCCAGTTTCAGTGGCGTCGCCCGAGTCGGATGATGCATCGTCCGTCATTTCAGAGTCCGAGTTCGAGATGTCATTGGATTCATGTGTTGTACTGGCGGGAGAAGCAGTTCTTGATTTGTATGCGTACTTCATATTCATCAATAGTCTTGCAGCTTTGAGAAGTTCCTCGTCATATTCTGGGTGTGGCGGACCTGGTAGGGACTTGGTGGAAGGATATGTCGTGTCAGCGGTATGAGGCTGGGAATGCATCTCGGACGAGGATGCTACAGAGTTGACGGATGAAGAGTGATCATTGCTCATGGGTCGGTGCCACTGAGGAATTTCCGCAACACGAGTCTCCCCTTCCCGGTTGCTGCAGGCTGCGGCGATAGAGTGATCGTATGCAAGGGCGTGACTGCGCTCCATGATGTCGAAAGGGCTGGTGAGGGCGAGAAGGGACTATGGAAGAACAAGGTGCACTATGCGAGGGAGAGGACGGCCTTTTTATCCCTGGATCAAGCACTAAGGGATTGTACAAATAAGGTAACAATAGCAAAGCAAAGGTTGTCCCGCGGTCACTTGAAGGTTATGCCTGGTCAATCGTGGTCAATGGGATAGATGCAGGGCACAAATATACACGTGGCATGTGTTGTCATGGCCAAAGGGCTTGTACGAACCAGAACAATAACCACTGTCGTGCCCACTGCTCAGTGAGCCACTGTCACTCAGGCTGCAACGGATTATCCCAGTCCCGGAGGATGATGGTCCATGCATCGTGAGTGGCACATTGCACATTTTCTTGGGAAATGATGTGTTTGACTGAAGCATGAACTGCGGGAGCCAACGTCCAGTATTTTGGACGTCAGTGTAGATACTGGTGATGAGCGACACCATTGGCTCACTCTCAAGCCAACATACCACTACAGGTTGCAACCATACCTGAAGGTAGGAAAGCTGTGGTCAGCTCACGAACCCGGCGAGGCAAGTTGAACACATTCTCAAGCCTGCCACGCGCACCTATCATTCAAGTTATACATGGGCTCGAATTGACGTTGGGCACATGCCAGTGGTGTAACTGTTCGAGGACGGAAGATAATGAGTTAGTATACCAACTCAGCGACTTGGCTTCTCGGAATGTCTTCCAAGTTCTACTGTTCTAGTACTTACAAGTTTAGTATATAGATTTGGGCTCGCAAGACCGTCGCGCACAGTGTGGATGCCTCACAAGCGAAAAATAGTCTTATCAATAAAAGTTTTTACAACAGATATCCTTCGATAGCTCAGTTGGAAGAGCGTGGGACTGTAATTGGATACCCAAGTATCATCCCAAGGTCACTGGTTCGACCCCGGTTCGAAGGATTCTTTTTGCGTATATTGTACAGTCTCGAGCTCCGGTGCATTCAACATAGTGTGCTGCTCCGAGTGCTGAGATTTACGAAGAGAAAGAGGAGAAAGGGAACTACGATCTCAATCTTCCCGGCACGCGTGTGTGGTGAGGGTTCGACCCCCTGCTATGACACTGTTCCCTACCATTGACATTCCCTCAAAATACTTCTCTTTTTACTTCATACTAATTTTCTGCTCCTTTGTTTAAATTCTGACAGTAAACTGTATTTTTCTCTGCCTGCTGCGTTGACTGTAAGCTCAAAAGTCATTGAGGCACCGGCGCTAAACGTCGTATTTTGGCGAAGCGCCCAGAATCGTACCTTCATTTCTCTCTTGTTCATAAAGTGTTTTTTTTTGGGGGGGGGGGGGGGGGGCTGCCATCCTTTGTTCAAACGGCTGTAATAGTGTCCTTTCTCGTATTTTTGAGTACAATCATACCACTGGTTCGATCCCGGCTCGAAGAACTATTCCCTCCCCTTCCTATTCTAAGTATCGCAGAGATACAACTGTACTTGCACTTGAATCGCACCTTGTTCGCTGCGTTGTTTCTTTCATGAGTTCAAGCCCAATTTACCTTATACTATGCGCATATACTCCCAAAGCGACTGCGCCTCAAATTTTCAAAGTTCAACGTTCACGAGCGGAACAAGGACTAGTAGCATCGAGGGCACTGTGAGTGATCCATAACGCATATATCGCCGACAGCCTTTGGGGTCTGCCTTGCACAACGGTAGCCGGTGATAATAGAATATAGTACAGTATGTATTCGCAATTGGAGACGCAATGATTTATCGATGTCCTCGCGTCGGGCAGCCCCGCGGACTCAGATGTTGCAAATATGTCTACCCATTCAATCCTTGGTCAACAATCCGTAGCCCCATCATGCCGAGTTGTGACCAGATGGACAACACGAAAGATGTTTCATGACCTGCACAGTAATTCACACTGTATTACTCACAACTGAAAATGACATGATGAATAGCATAAGCTGTAAATTACGAACACTCAGCGTCATCTATCGTCCTCTACCCCGTTTGGCGGGTTTCTTAGTTGACCCTGGTTTCTTCGCTTTCGAGGGACTACCGCCACCTCGCGAGCGTGTCCCAGAAGAAGCAGAGGCCATGACCTGAGCCTCAAGGATCGCGCTCTTGCTTAGGCAAAAATCAATATGAGCATTGAGACCCGCGTTGTCTGTCTCCCAGGTCTTGTTACAGATTGGACAAGTTTGTGCTTGAAGTTCGGAATCCGCTGGGACCGGAGACTTGCCTTTCCGTCTCGAACGAGGGGGTGACTTTCCATTATCCGCGGGTGGACGTCGAGACTCAGATGGGCGATCGGACAATGGTGCTTTCGAGCTTGAATCAACCGCATTCAAGGAACGAGTCGGGGTCGAAACTGCCCCGATCTCAGCATCGTCTTCTTCGTCACCAATTTCAAGCTTCGCAATGGGTTCTAGGTCTTCATGGAGATGATCTTCCTCAAAGCCAGGCATAGTCTGTTCGTAGCCATCTTGAGAAAGTGTCGCCATGAAATCCTCATGGCTTTCATCGAGCCTAGCCCTCTTACGAGGAGATGAGGGCCCAGATGCAGAATCAAAAAACTGCAGAAGATCAATGTTAGCCAGGCCCCGATGCCAAAAACAGGGAACCATGTACCCTCTTGATCCCTCCAGTTTCACTCTTGCGGAGGTCCTTCAGCTTTGTCACACGGAGACCAATAAGCCGGATTCTGAGTGGGAGCTCAGGTATGAGGAGTTCTTTTCCTATCTGAATGAACATCGCGACTCTGTCAGGCACGAGAATCCGGTTCCTTCTAGACCACCTACCGCGAGAAGATCTTCCTTCTTGGTGGATATCCACCTGTCAAACGATTTGGCACGAGTGAATACTGGGGAATGACATCAGGTGAACTTTCGAGGATGAGAACGGGTTGCTCGCGGAGAACGAGAATACCTTGATATGTATCCAACTTGTACTTCAACGTGACGGTTTTACCTGTCCACCCGTCCGATTGCATGTCATGTTCCAGCTCAGCCGCGACCTCCTCAAGCTTCTGGAAGATATTCTCCTTGTCACTAATCGCAGAGAAGGTCCTGCAACACACATATCACTGAGCGAACAATTTCATAATGCCATATGATCAACGCACCGTTCGGCACCTATACTCTTGCGTTCTTCACGCTGCCATGGCTGTACGACATTCGACGCGATACCGAGGTAGGTCTGCAGCAGAAAGTGCAGACCGAAATGCTTGTCCATTAGAGACAAGGTTGCTCGGTGGGTGTAAATGTCCGCGCATGTCTATCACATAACATGTAAACTCAAGCGAGATACCAACTGAGAGTGAACTTACCTTGATACCTATTGACTCGAGCAGACGCTCGTTTACCCTTCCTACCCCGGGTACTCTGCGTATGGGCAGGTCGTGCATAAATGCTTTGATGGCTTCGGGTTCAAAATCAAGTTTGAATTGTCCATTCGGTTTATTCTGATGTTTCATTCAAAATGAGCACCGAGCAAGGTTAAAGTAAGTGAACTGACCCTATCGGAGCAAATCTGTAACAAGTATAAGAGCACTGTGATGGCCGTGGGATGTTGACTTGCGTACCTTGGCTAACATCTGCGACAAACCATTAATAGAATCACGGGGAGATTCTCGAGACATGCTACTTACACAATTCGGCGCGATGCCTGCGCTAACGGTGAGACCTGTCTCCTTTTCCACCGCTGCCCGCATCTGCCTGACACATTCTTCTGCGTCAATGAGATGGTCTTCACAGTATCGTGTGATGCTAGCGCATGGAGCCAAATAAGGTTTCCTGCTTCTCGTATTGAATGTGTTAGTTACGCACTTGATGTAACCCTCGTCGACGCTTGCGGGACACATGTTCGGGTCGTATCTCCGGAATATGTCCATAACCTTCTTCGACATCTCCGCGTATCGTCCGTGATGGAGTGGTACGACCGTCAGCTCTGGGTGTAATTTTCTGGCGATGTGCTCTAAGGATTGCAAAGTCAATGCGGTCACTATCTTCGCACAGTACGGTGAAGATGCATACCGGCCATTCCAGACCGGATACCAAATTTGCGAGCCTCGTAAGAAGCGGTGCACAGTACGCCATTGCCAACCTTGTACATGTGAGGTTAAAGTTCGAACAGACGTCTAGAACGAGCTCACCCCAAAAGCTGTTCCTTTGAGACTAGGGTTGTCCAGTATTTCGACATTGGCAAAGAAGGCGTCCATGTCAACGTGAACGATGATCTGAGATAGATCACGGCTGGCTTCCATCTTCGCAATCTGACATCACCATTAGAGGGTCTTCGTGCAGTAGAAGATTCCCTACTAGCCATACCAGGTGGTCAACAGTCCGCTCTACGTGAGCTGTACATGTAGCCATGACTGAGTGAATGTTCGCTGATCGCTTCGTTCGGCGAACGTACCGATGTCTGCGCCCTTGCGGACCTCGTCCCTCAGTTTCAGAATCTTGGTGATCTTCTCCGTCAGTTCTTTATCCTTCCTCTTCTCATTCTATTTCAGGGTCACTACACGCCGTGCGTCGTCTTCTATGCAGAAATTGTGTACCTCATAATATTTGGATCCTTTAGATGCTTCCGCAATGATTCGGTTGATCTCGGTCTGGTCTTTAGCAAGTCTATGAAGTTCTCAAGTTCAGCGGCAGGGCCAACATCGCAGCGAACGTCACGGTGATGATCGCACCCAGCTTTGGTTGTAGAAGGTCCCGCCAGCCGTTTAAGGAGACTGTCGGTGGCTTGAGATGAGGGGGGTTCATGTGAGTTATCGTCCCTCGACGTCATTATGGCTTTCGTTTCGGTCTCGCAGTTGTTTGGAATGAATCTCTTCGGTTCTAGACTAGGCAGATCGTCGCGTTTCGCCAGGGGGATTCGCTGAAGCCTTCGCTATGATACAATTTGGGGTATATTCAAGAGAGTTTTTGAAAGCAAGAAGTGCATGAAGAGGTCGTGTTCAAGGTCGTAATGAGCGAGACCCGCAACTTGGCAGATTTGGTCAAGAAGGCTTTGAAACGTGCGCCTATCGCGTAAGACACAACACGCGTCGCGTGCCTTAGACGCGTACATACCGCCAAATGGGGACCGGCAACCCCCTGCCAGATTTTGCAAAGCGCCGTGCATTGGCGCCACCTGCTTAAGGTTGATTCCCAGGAGGCCGTGCTGCAAAGAAGCTGCGAACCTCGGAAATCCACCAGCCCGACACACCTCCGCTGACTCTCGGGAAGCTCTTGAACGTTACGTTTTTGAATATGTAGATTCACGTCCACTGGTCTGATTTCTTGAAGATTTCTTAGTTAAGCTTACAGAGTCTACTAATGAGACTGTTTGGATACACCGAGTCAAAAAATAAAAAATCGGCACGGTACAAATGCTAGAGGCAAGAAAAAATAATCGATTCTGACACTCAAATCCGTTATCCGACCGTGCAGTTCCACTCTATTCTACAATCAGTTAACTTCTAGGATATGTGCCCTAGATGTACGACAATGTGATACTCAACATGACAGCTCCTGCTGAATGTGACAATGAAAGATGAGTGGCGAGAGACATGCAATCTAATCAAATCTATTGATAACCATTCATTAGCCGCCGATCCCCTCATGTGACCTTGCACGGTTTCGTTGGAGGCGTTGCCGGTCCCCA